AAGTTGGGTGCTAGGTTTTTCGTTTCTTAAAGCATTTCAAACTAATATCCAAGGACCCAAAAAGCATTGGGGACCTAAATTTTTTTTGATTGATCGTAGGTGTTATGTGATAGAAATACGATGAACACTGGTATATCGATAGTGGTTGCTCTCGTCACATTACAGGGCAAAAAGAGAATATGTGAGATTTTAAAAGTTTGGAAATTTCTTGTGTTGTGAAATTTGGCAATAATAAAAAAACGCGAGGTAAAAGTTTATGGGAAAGGAACAAATGGAAAGTTTACAGTATAAAGAGTGGCCTATGTCGTAGGCTTACAACACAACTTGATAAGTGTTTTACAACTTATTGTGGGCACTGGCAATCAAGTAGTCTTTGATAAGGAAGGTAGTGTCATCTCAAACAAGGAAACAAAGGAAGTACTGCTTAAGTATAAAAGGAAAGGTGATATGTTCACACTCGACATGAAGCCCAATGTCAACTTTTCCTCTGTCTGCTAACTTTTGAAGGCATCGTTTGATCTTAGCTGGTTGTGGCATCGAAGACTCTCTCATCTAAATTTCAAGAATATGAACAGATTGGTTATACATGATCTTGTTTGTAGCTTACCTGTATTAAAATTTGATAACGATTCATTACGTACAGCATGTGAACAGGGAAAGCAACATCGTTAAGTTCATCCCATCGTCATCAACTTGAAGATCATCAAACATCTAGAACTTCTTCACATTGACCATTGTGGATCTTCGACTGTTGAGACTCTCAACAAGAAGAAGTACATATTGGTCATTGTTGATGAATTTTCATGGTTTACTTGGGTTTTCTTTCTTTGTTAGAACTCTAAAATTCTCAAGTGATGATAGATTTTATCAAGCACATCGAACTTAGTTTGAGAAACAAAGTTGAAAGAATTAGAAAGCGATAATGGCTTAGAATTCAAAAACAAAGTTCTTGATTCATTTTTGGCTGAATTATGGATTTCACATAATTTTTCATCTCCTTATACACTGCAACAAAATGGTGTTGTCAAATGAAGGAATAGATCTCTATGCGAAGCGGCAAGAACAATGCTGACATATACGAACCTGCCTCAATATCTCTGGGCAGAAGCAGTTCCGACAACATGTTTTACTCAAAATCATTCATTCATACATCATCGTTTTAACATCACCCATTATGAAATCATCAAAAATCGAAAACCTAATGTAAATTTTTTTTATGTTTTTTGTTGCAGGTGCTTTATCATGAATCTCAAAGATAATCTTTCAAAATTTCAGTCAAAAGCTAATGAAAGAATATTCTTGGGTTACACAACTCAGTCGCATATCAGGTGTTGAATAAGCGCACAAGAAAATTTGAGGAGACATATAATCTTACGTTCGATGATTACCATATCAAACGTGCTGAACAAACTTTTGAATAAAAGCCAATTCTCATAGAAACGAATGATGAGTCGGCAATTGCAAACTCTTTCGATATTGATTATGATTTAGTTTTTGGTGTTTCAGACAGGAAAATATATGTTGAAGTTCATGTTGAAGATAATCGGATTCCTGAAGCATCGAAGCATTCTGATGATTCAACGGTGACTAGGGAAGAAGATGATTTTCAATCTACATCAACCTCACAAGTACGTGTCGAAAGTCTACCTGTTTCGCAGGGTAGTCAAGTGGAGAGGGAGCACTTAAGTTCAATGTCACAAGATCATATACATGATTCTAATGTTGAAGGGGAGAATGATCGAACTACACATCAGTTCGAGGGGGAGCATGGCCAAAACAATGTTGATGTCAAGGGGGAGCATCACAATCCAAATCTATTAGTCGAGGGGGAGCTCACTGGATTGACACCTAATGCTGATGTCGAGAGGGAGCATTACAATTCTAACAGTTGTCATGATGTTTCTGACTCTGTGTCGAATGAAGATGAAGGTGCTGAATCGGATGAAATATTCAAAGATGCACCTTTGGATTTTGATCCTATATATCCACCGATGGACAGATGGACAAGAAACCATCCAAAAGAACAAGTTCTTGGTGATCCTCAAGATGGAGTTATGATGCATGCACAAATTCGATCTAAAAACAAGATACCTAATGTTCACCAGGAATTCTGTATGTTTAATGTGTTCATTTCTAAAATGAAACTGAAAACATATAAGGTTGCATTAGAAGATCCTGATTGGCTTGTCGCAATGCAATCTGAACTTGCTGAATTTGAACGAAATAAGGTTTGGAGACTAGTTCCAAAACCTAATGATATTTTGGTCATTTGATTAAAATGGTTTTTTAAAAATAAAATGGACAAATAAGGCAATCTTGTTCGAAACAAAGCAAGATTGGTCGTAAAAGGATATTCACAACAAGAAGGTATTGACTATGATGAAACCTTTTCCCTTGTCGCAAGATTCGAGGTTGTTCGAATATTTCTTGCTTATGCAGCACACAAAGACTGTTATGTATATTAAATGGATGTCAAGTGTGCTTTTCTCAATGGTGTCTTAGAAGAAACGATTTATGTTGAACAACCACTAGGTTTTGTAAATGAAAATTTTCCTAATCATTGTTATATACTTGATAAAGCTACCTATCGCTTAAAACAAGCACCTCGAGCCTAGTATGAAACTCTTACCAATTTCTTGAAACTCTCTAAATTTAAACAAGGATCAATTGATCCTACTCTATTTCGATAGAAAGCAGGGGATCATCTGATGCTAGTTTAAATTTATGTAGATGATATTATTTTTGGCTCGACTGACCCTTCGTTGTCTAGGGAATTTGTGAATATGATGAAAATCTAGTTCAAAATGAGTATGATGGGTAAGATAAATAATTTTCTGGGATTGAATATTTATCAAATCAAGGAAGGAACTTTCATATATCAAGAGAAATATTCTCGTAACTTGCGTGAGAAATTTGGCTTGACGAATAGTTCAAAATTGAAAGTACGAATGGTAGTCAGCACGCGCTTAGGTCCTTCGTTGGATAAGCCTATTATGGATCTCACGTTACGCAAAAGCAAAACATGGCAGAATTTCATTGGTGAACGATTCAAATTCAAATTTGACGTTGATTATAAAAGGATTTTGGTGGACTAAATTGAAAATTTTACTTATTTTGGTCAAATGTTCCTTAAATATTTTTTCACGATAATCGTTTCTTCACAAACTTCTCACAAACCCTAACAATGGCGGCACCAACTGGTCATGTTGATCCATCAAACACCACCAGTGAAGAAGCAGCATCTCAGCCATTGCTGAATATTCAAAGTTCTAATTTTCGTATTCAACTGGATGTTATGAAGTATCCTGAACAATTACAGATGTTGATTGTTGCTCTCTACCACTCTGTTCTTTCAACGGTTATGTCTTCTTCTTTCTCTGTACCAATGACGTGGTTATCACTGTCTGGATCGATAACAGTGTTCAACAAGACAACAAAATTGGTGACATTCCAATTGACCAACAAAAAATTTTACAAGCTTACAAAGAGGCAGTTTGCTCAAATCCTGAAGATTCCAAATACAGGACCGTTTTATAAAGTTATGACTGAACAAATTTTTTACATGTTCAATAAGATGGCTCACTAACTGCCACTCACCTTAATAAGTCATTTTCGCAAGACTGTTTTGCCTTGTGTCTAGCACTTCTTATTTGGGATTTTTCTATGTTGTTTAACTGGTCGCAATTCAGGGCTTCATAAAGCCAAGTTAGAAGTATATGCTATGATTGCAGGTCTTTACTATGATCTGAATGTCGATTATACAACTCAGTTGTGGGAAGTTTTGAGAGAAAAACTTTTGAGAAACACTTGAACAAACATTAATACAAGATAATAGTTGCGGAATAAGTTAATCTCAAGGATCATGCAAGCTCCACAATAATAAGTTAGAGTTTTTAGATATTTAGTTGCGGAAATATAAAGTGCTAAAATGTAAATGAAATGTGAATGACAACAAGTTATATCAAGTATACACCAAACTGATTCATAACGACGTTCGCATTCAAACACAATTTAGTATGTGTGATCAGTTTAAGGTGAAGAGGATCTCGAATATTAGATTAGATAAGATTGATATATGGGAGAATGATCTTTGTATTTCAGAGTGAAAGTTCAGAAAGATTGTTAAGAAGTGGTAAGGTTACATGAAGACGAAAACTCTATTTATAGAGTCTCATAAAGTTACATGTGGAATAAACAATAATAAACTACTGACTTAAGTGACCATGCAATGTTCACTGGACAAAGTAAAGCTAACACGCTAAGTTAGTTGACAATACAAAGAGATCTTCACTACGGTAGTGGTAGTTGCGGTTCACTCCGGTTTTCAGAATAACTACTTCAACTTGAAACTACGGTAGGTACTCCATATTGTGGTAGCAACTCTAATTGCGGTAGGAGAATAAGACTGCGGATCGTTAAGTTTAAGAGGGACACTTTATGTATCAACAGGAAGAATTCATAACAGGGATTTCTCATACTAATTTCACGAATGGTGTCTAGTGTGCGAGGTATTGGAGCTTGATTTTAAGGGAAGTATATGAGAAAGAGTGTATTTTGGTTGTATCTGAAGATGCAAAGGTGGAAATCTCAATGTATCAGACTCCCAAGATTGTTACTGATGATCCAAGTTTGTTTCCTAATGTGGCTAGAATTCTGGATGCGATGTTATGCAAAATCGATCTTGCAAATCCGATACTTGTTCAATCTTTGTCAACTATGAACCTAAATATACAGGTTGGTGTTTTATTGCCTAAAGGATTTGAAGCCACATCGAAGGTTGTGAAACCTTTGAAGAATCTAAAGAAACCTGATCAACAACCATCTGTTCCTGAGACGATAGAGAAGGAGGTTACAAAGGCGGTTCACAAGAAAGTTGAAAAAATAGTGTTTAAGGAGTTTTCCCATCGAAAACATGTATTCTAGAACTAACTAAGAAGCAACTGGATTTGGCTTCGAGACACCTCATAGGGACTCTCTGGTTAAGTCAACTTTCGAGGCGAATGGAAGTCTTGGTGGCTCCGTACCATCCCTACGAAGGCAGTTGTGATGCCACCCGAGGTTTCGAGGACTGATTTTGTTATAGAGGAGTTTTGAACCTCAGGCATCACTATGCACATATCTGATATAGACACAATTGTCATTATGGGTGAAGGGATGAAGCATAACGAAGCCCACGGTACATCTTCTATTGAAATCTCTTCTATTCCTACTTCATTCATTCTATCTTCTACCATTGAAACTACCATCATTGATACTTCCACTTCTTTACCACCATTCTCTTCACCAATCACATCTACATTACCAGCTTCTACCATCTCACCAACATCTTCTAACATCATGCATCAACCTATTACATCACTTTTCTCTTCTCAATCCACTAAAGGTGGAAAGATAGTTCCAGAAGATGAACCTAATGATCTTGATGTCATGGTCTCTTTTGCTGGTATTCATTTCGACCATGAAGAAGAGAATATTCCAGATCACATGCTCATGTCAGGAAAGCTATTTAAATTTCTCAATCACAAACTAAATTTGTTCTTATAGATTCAGGCAGATACAGGAGGTCGAAATTCTATTTCTATAATTGAAGTGTATGTTATGCTCAAGTGACAAGAGACTCGTTTAAAGCTGCCTCTGGAGCAGATTGAGAAGCAACATGATGATCATTTAAAGCATCATGCTCGAAATTTTGAATACAAGGTTACCAAACTTCATGATGTTGCAAAAGAACGATATGTGATTTTTGTTGAGCAAGTCAAGAAGGTTGAGGAGTCTGTAAACCTCAAAGTTGTTGAGCTAAAGTTAGAGATGACGAAGGAGGTTGAAAAGATTGAGAAGAATTACTCAAATCTTCATGGAAAGGTAGATGTTATTCCTAATGCGATCACGATGCTTGTGGAGTATCATAATTCATTCTCAACCAAGCTCGATGCCAAGACATATCGTGAATCGAAAGCGTTTGAAAAGTTAGAAGAGTTTTGTGACCACCCGAAATTTCCATTCTGAACAAACCACACCAAGCCAATAGAAGTAGAGCAGTTACAGTGAAAATTCATACTTCGAGTATAAGTTTGGCAGTTTTCAGGATTTTACACTTAAGGAGATATTAGGAGAGTGGATGCACTAGGGTTTGGTGCAACACTGTAATTCCAATACTCTAGGACATTAGAATTCATTCCGAGAATAGAAATATTTTCTGCCAAAAATCTCAGGACTATAAATAGAATTCTGAACCAAATTGGTTCATTAGTTGAATTCCAATTAGAGAAAAGCCAAATTCTCTCTCACGGATATTCGGTTTTTTATCCCAAATCGTGAGTATACTTCTCTAGTTGTTTTATAATACTTGTTATAAGCTTAATAACATAGATTACATGCCAAATATGTGAGATCCGGGAGTTTACCGCCCAAGAACGTTCTTGGGGAGTAAACTCCATTTTAAGGTCCTAAAGGGTTCCAATGACCCTCAAAGCTTTAGAACTCGAACTAGGGGCCTCCAATTCATGCCTTATACCACAAAACAATTAGGAATCATGGCTAGAAGGGAGTTTACGGCCAAGGAGCTTCTTAGGCTGTAAACTCCAAGTTTTAAGTGCCAAAATGCTTTGAAACACTTCCTAAGGCTTAGATTAAATTAGGACAAATAACCTAAAGTGTTTATAGCCTAGCAAACATAAGAAATCACAAGGAAAAAGGAGTTTACGGACAAGACAAACTCTTGGGCCGTAAACACCTTTAAAGGGGTCAAATGACACCCTAAATCCTTCCTTAAGCCAAGAGACCAATTTGGGCATGTACCTAAATGAGTTTTGGACTAGTTAACACACTTAGAACACCAAGAGTGAGGGAGTTTACGGCCCAAAAGGTTCTATGGCCGTAAACTCCATAAAATGGTGCCAAATGGTGCCATAAACTCTTCTAAAGCCAAGTACCAAAGCCTAGTTTAGTTCCTAGAAATGTTTGAGACTTGAAAACACCATAAAAACCCTCCCAAGGGAGTTTACGGCTGTAAACTCCCCAAAGGAGTTAATATGGCACCCAAACACTTGTATAGCCTTTAAACAATTCCCCACTAGAGTTGTAGTAATTCTAAGCTTCAATTAGGGACCCTAAGGAGAGTTTAAGGCCAGGAGTTTACTCCCCTGGGCCGTAAACTCCAAAACATATGGTCATTAGACCTTAAACTCACATTAGGGGCATTATACTCCTTTGTTGCAACCCATTAGCCTCCTAGCACTTGACCAAAAGTGTTTTCCTCGCGCTTAAATGTTATTACTTGTATAATTAGTGTTTTAATAACTAATTATTTATATACATATGTTTTCATATGTAATTAGGATCATTGTGTGTGTCTAAGTCTTCACTTGACACCAAGCACTTGCCTGATCCTTCCTTACGATAACAGTCCGTTCAATTCCAGTCACTTACTGCAGGTGAGTTCATACCCCTTAACTAATGTTTTAAACTACTTTTAAATGTTTTATGGGGGAGGGGGATACAAGTTGAATTATGCTAGTTATTATATCAATCACATGCGATTAATAAGTAGAATTACGCTAGTTATTATATCAATCACATGTGATTAATATACAACATTCAAATGATTTGGCTACTCATAAGCCGTTTTACCAAACAGTTTCCTTCAAATGATTTTTATAAACATTTTATATGTTTTAAACTCCTTATTACACTGTACATCTTACTCTGTACATTACCTTTCAAACTTATTTTCAACTGTGTTTCAAATAAATGTTACCTTATACTTAAACTGTTTTATCAAACTTATGCCTTCAAATTGTTTTATAGATTGACATCAAGTCGATCTTTTCTTAAAATAATATTTCTGTTTCAAATGTCTTACAAAACTTATTTATGCTTTTATATTATAAATTGCATGCCTCTATATGTATAGTTATATAAGAAATGTTTAAAAGACTTAGGAAGGCTATCCACCCTATTTCCTTTTCACGCTTGAGATGTGGTCTGGTGGGATATCGGGTACTCGTCCGAAGGTCGTTTAAATATTAGTTATATATCATGTGTACATATATAGTCATAAAAGGTCCTTCCAGTTCATCCCATGCCCTTGGGTAGCAAGGGTATACATCCATGACCATACGTACCAGATAGATTACTAGTAAACTACCATATGGGTAGTTTAGGAAGATACTAGAACCATTACTAGAACGCGATATCATACAATGAGTCAGTTCATTCATGAGTCAATACTTTCTAGAACATTACTGTACATTACATATACAACTATACTAGGAAGAGAACATATACAACGATACTAGAACGATTACATTACTATACTTGCTAGGTAGAGAGCACGTACATTACAGCTAGAACAGTTCATTACATTACATATACTAGAATACGTTAATTACTGTGATTTAAATCGGAGCATGACTTAAATGACATGGCCCGAGTTGTAGCCAGAGTCTCTTGAAGGGAGAGCGTGAGTTTGCGTATAGATTTATAATGGACTGACTATCCTACACCTTGCTGCTAGCTATAGCGGGACCTGCAGGTCTGCGGGTCCCAAACGTCATACATTATTTTTGACCATTCTTATGTCGTTGTAACCAGTCTATAGTATGAGTTTGTGTATGGATCTATACTGGATTGACTATCCTACACCTTACTGCTAGCTATAGTGGGATCTGCAGGTCTGCGGGTGCCAAACGTCATTCCTTATTATGACCATTCTTATGTCGTTGTTACCAGTCGATAGTATGGTACAATTTATCACATAATGCCTTAATATAAAATCCGGTTTAAGGTAGTTATTACGGCAGTAGTTCTTATAGCACTACACCTTAGTACTATTTCTTTTTCCCATCACATTCACTTCGTGAACATTCACACGACGCACGGAAATATAGAAACTATATTTTTGGATAATGATAGTTATACTTACGAACATACATACTCTTACAAGAGACATACATTTAGAACAGTTAGGTCTTGGTAGAAGACACCTTCATATACTAGTAGGAATCATAGGGATTCTAGGGTTTTCAAACACTTACAATTCATATACACTTTCAATACTTACAATACATAGACTTACAAATTCTTACATACAAATACTTACATACAAATTAAGACACTAAATACTTATGATCTCACCAGCTTCAAAGCTGATACTCACTTTCAAAATTACTTGTATCCTCAGGTCATCATAGACAGGTACCGATGCAAGGAGAAAGGAAGATGGACCTTGTTCAAGACTTATCTTTCATTTTGATTTATGCTTTAGTGTTTATCAAAATTTGACAGAACACAATTGTATAATAATTATTTTATTAATGCAATGGATGATGTTGTTGCTTGTTTACTACTTTACACTGTTGTTGATATTATACATGACGTCCTCCGCCCCAGAACGTTTCCTCCATTCTTGGTTTTGGGGTGTGACAAGTTTTTGGGAAGTTTAACAGAGTCTATGTCAAAGATTGATATTTCTCATCAATCTGCTGTCTCTCAAGAATTTATTTCGTAGTTGATTTCTTCTCTTGAATCAAATCTCAAGGCCGAACTTGCTCCTATTTTTAACTTGGTACTTCTAATACCCACGAGTGCCACACTAGTGAAACAAGTGGTGCAAGGGGAGAAAAGGGGGTAGGCTCTTCGAATGATCCTGATCAAGGTAAAGTGGTAGGCAAGGTGATGACTACGCAAATTCCAACATCACTTCTTGTTTCTCTGACAACCACTGGTACTACAACAACTTCGAGGCCGATAAGAAAAGGGATAATTATTGGAGAAGGTGCTAGTGGTTCGAGTTTGAGTACAAAACCACCACCTTCTAAGGATAAAAAAAAGGTGACAAAGGGAAGGGAATTAAGAAATTGATTTCTAATGAAGAGAAAATCAAAGTTGTGGAGAAGGAAATAGAGAAACAAAGACAGAGTGAGCCTCCTAGCTTCAACAAAGGTGATCTAAGCAAAAAATGGTGTTATGAAATGATCAAACAAGTTGTTTCATCTGGGAAGAATCATGATTTCAGAAAATTTCCAAAGAAGAGCTACAATATTGAAAATTCTGACTTCAATCAGTTGGATTTTCCGATCAATCACATGATGTTCGTTTCTGCTCAGTATCAGCTGTTGGATAAATTTGAAGATAAATATGAGTATAATAGATTAAAGATGAGATTCCATGCTGTTATGGGGAAGAAGGAGGAAGAAGTTTGGTCTTCATTCAAAATCATCAAAGTGTTAAACATTTCAAGAGAAAGCTTGTTCGAGGGCTTATTGCAAAATTGTCGATACTACGTGGTCAGAGGGAACAATGTTGCATGTGACTTCTTTGTTGCTGATTTTCCTCTGATAAACTTAAACGATCTTATCAATGTAACAAAGATTTTGAGCTCTGTGGATGTGTCAAAGCTTCAGGAAAACAATAAGGTTGACCTCTTGATTGGATTCGATCGTATCAAAGTTTTCATAAATAATTACTATGATTGTTTGGCAGTGAATGATATTGAGCTTACGATGACAGTGAACAAAACTTAGAAGGTTCCCCAGTCTTTACTGAAAGGAAATGTTAACCTTAAAGACAATGTTGATGGGGAGATAATTCACAAACCTTTAGGAGTTGATTTCCTTGGCAAAAGAAAGAATGGAAAATGACTAAGTTTTTGTTTCAAATGTGTGTTGTGGAAAGATACACAAACTCTTAATATACCAATCTTATGGTTCGTCTCAGTAATGGTAATAGGAACAGTGCAGAAGATAAAGTAGAAGTTTGAAAGATAGTAGTTTGGTATATGGAGGTTTGAACGATACTTCAACAGACCATGAAGTTGATGGCTAATGTTCAACACTTCACACTAAGGGTGAGATTGTAGGGTTCGAAGTATATAGTGAGGTGTTGAAATACATTTAGGTCAGGGTAGTGTCGATGTCAATGTGATGTATTTCGAATATATGTATAACGTAAGGCATTTTTCGAGGTCGAAGCTATCATGTCTAGTCCTTATGTATTTTTTGTACACG